TGTGTGTGTGTGTGTGTGTGTGTGTGTGTGTGTGTGTGTGTGTGTGTGTGTGTGTGTGTGTGTGTGTGTGTGTGTGTGTGTGTGTGTGCCTGTGTTTGAGAGAGAGAGTGGGTGTGTGTGTGTGTGTGTGTGTGTGTGTGTGTGTGTGTGTGTGTGTGTGTGTGTGTGTGTGTGATTTTCCTGTTGCCATAGGTATCCAACCAGCAAAGAACAGGAAGCAGCCGTCACCTTTAACAAATTCAGAGACGTGTTCAGCAGATGATCTCTGGTGTTTGAAGGAACATTTAAACTGGGTTCAGTCGAGTGGAATCTCCTCTCAGTCTATTCACCAGCACTATGAACTATGAACAAAGTTTCATGTTAGAAATGTAGAGTAGGGTCCCCAGCTCATAGAAACTGATGGATGCTAACCTGTTGGGACATTTACACAGTTAGCATAAGTTGCGTTAATTAGCATTAATTAATTAATTAAGTCCATAGGAGATGACTACTGAAACAAAAGTACTACCTCTACTACTACACTCCTACACCCCAAAATACCTCTACCACCTCAACTACAATGCATTTTAACGTACCCAGATATCCATTGGCAGGCAGATCATTTTTGAATGTATGGCCTAAATGTCATAAATGTAGGATTTGACACAGAGACCAATCATTTAGGGAAGGTGTCAGTCATTTTATAACAAATAATGATATTTCCAAGCCTTCATTGGTGGTCATTTTGATTGTTGAGGGTCTCTCTCCAAAGAGTGACCCCCATGGAGTACATGTGCCAGTTTCAGCGCTTGTATCCCCTTCTGAAAGATTTCCCTGGTATATTCAGTTATCTGCAGCACTGTATTTTGAGCAGTGGCACAAACCCTTCTCTCTACATAGAGCTCAACAGTGACTGCTGACAGGGTGTGTGTGTGTTTTTATTTACATGTTTACATATGCTAAGTTGATGCCACTTCCTTACCCACTGTTCAGCAGCGCGTTGGTTCTCAGGTTAGGTCATTCCAGCAGTCGGTCAGTGCCTCAGTCTTGGTACTCTGTGATTTTGAGACTTTGAGATCTGTTTCCTGTCGGTCTGTTTAAAGCCTACTGGTCCTCTGTTTGCTCACTACAGGTCAGTCTGCTTGTATATATCTTTGCTCTGTACCTGCTGTGTGTTTGTGAGCGGCAGTGTTGGAATTATGTAGTACTTTATGCTGTACTGCTGTTTGTGAGTTTGCTGCTTTATATATACATATATATTTATATGTATATATATGTTTTGGTACACCAACGTAGTTTTGGGGTATATTTATGTTTCATGCAAATCATTTTCTTCATCTTAATGTCATAATAGGTTTTTTAAAATTGTTTATATATATATATTTCCTTCTTAGTACAATGTATAGTCTATACCTGTGTTTATGTATGAACCAAATACAGCAAGGCACATTTCTGGTGTAAACCTGTTTTTATATAACAGAATGATATGGTCTGAGCTTAAATATATTCAAATGGATTTACATTTGCTGAATCGATCCCCGCCCTTGAATCTGCCATTTTACCGTTGCACGTGACTTCCGCTTCCCCTCGCGTCACCTATTTGAGCCTTGTGACGAATTGTTAAGTTCTCGTCTTAAACTCTAAAACTCTTAAACTCACTTTCATGGCTCAATTAGCATCAGCTCTGTTTGTGTTCCTGTTGATCAGCGGTTCATCGGGAGCAGGAGGAGGTAAGGCGATAATCAGAATTCAGTTTGTTGCCTGTTAGCTTTCACCGAAAGTTTTAGCTTCTACATGCTGTATGAGACGCGGACCTCCGCCATACTTCCTTTGTTTATTGGTGTTGTTCTATGTAGCTTAATGCAGTTGGTTTGTTCTATACTGTTTGTTTAAATCAGTCTACTGTATGTTCACTTCATAGCCACTTCATAATAATAGTTTTGTCTTTTGTTTCCTTCACAATGCAACCTCTGTAGCCCGGAGAGCTAACCACGCTAGCCTAGGCCTGACTCCTCGGTGCTAAAATATCATTGAAATGCAGCCAGATGTTGCTTTTTGCAGGTCTTTGTTGTCACACACATATAACAGCAAGACCTGATCTGCAATACCACTTATGTGCAAAATATATATATATTTACAGCTTTATAAATATTATATTATCACTGGCTCCCCTTAGTTAGACAACTCAATTCACCTCATGTAATAAATGTAACTGTTCAATATATACTGCTTTTAAATACTATCGCCTAGCTACTATCTCAAAACTGTTACTGGTACTGGATGTGTATTTTGTCAATTGTATAACTTCAATTTGTTATCTTTCAAATGTTATGCATGCCTTTAACTTTCAATTAACATTAAGCTATCTTTGGCTCTTGCTGTAACAATGTAAATGTCCCCTCTGTGGGACTAATAAAGGTATGCTGCTTCCAGGGGTTACGTTGGGATTTGATATGTGGGGGGACCTGACCTTAAGGGCTATACTGTATGAGGCCCTAAAGAATCTGCTCCATTATCTGTATCGAATGCACGCATTGATGCCACCAAATGACTCAATACAAATAGAAAGTGCTACAAATTAATTAGTTCACATCTTAAATTATTAATATATACACACGATTTTTAATTTAATTATGATCGATCATAACTCAGCTTTATGCCCACACATACATTTAGCATGGTTTAGGAAAGGCACTGTGTGACAAGATGGGTCGGGTCACACACACACACACACACACACACACACACACACACACACACACACACACACACACACACACACACACACACACACGACACACACACACACACACACACA